ATAAATTAACAGGAAAATCCCACCCCTATATTTAATTAATGGCTTAGAAATATTACGATAGCTTGCAAAATGTTACAAATAATAAAATAAGAACTAAATTAAAATATTAGTAATGACAGCAGTAGATTATCATAGAAATATTTTCTCTGGTTAATAAGTCTTTTATTGTTCATAGTACTGTTGACATCATCGATATCTAATCGTCTGAATCAGGATCGGAATGCATTTATTCCGGCATTTCGTTCATATTACCATCGCCGTCAATACTTGAACAATTCATAATGGCATAGTTCAAACGTTCGTACATGATTTCAGTTGTTGAATATTCAGGTAGATCGATGGTAAAAAAGCATGTGTGAGATCCTAAAATAAGAACATATTCGGTTCAAATACAGAGCGTAATTGTTTCTTATCAAATTTCAGATAGACTGAAGTAAGGCAGTTTTAATATTTCAAATGAAAAGAATTTCGTTATTCACCTCTGAAGAAAAAATCCAAACCGAAAGGTACCAGAGAGAAAAATGTGGTCGAATAGTTTTTTTTTACATACTTCACAGAGAAAAATTTCGGAGTTAATCAATGGAGTGAGATTTCAGCAAATGCTTTTAGATTCTTATTCGAAAGACGTTTTCCATTGATTTTTTAAAATATCCGATAGTAAAGATTATTTTCTTTCGGTCTAGACAATGACGACATTGGCAACCAACTCTTTTCTATAGTTGCATTCATTTTTTTCAGCAGTCCTGATATTAGTTATGAAACTTTTGCATTTCTTCTTCTGACACATTTTTCGCAACGGAATGACGATCTTTGAATGGAAAACAGCTTTTTGAATATCATCCGGAATGTGCATGCCGAAATCTCAACACATTGGACTGTTCATCATTACTACTCTTCGATTGATGTTCGAACACTTGCTGTGGACGAAATAGAAATAAATCATACCATTCAATATTTATTTTTTAAGTATGAGAGGAATTTGTCAGAGTATCATCTTTATGTGACTCTCATTCTGTACATCTGTCGATCTAGGTTCTCAAAGCTTCTTTTCTTTGTCGAAAACTAGATAGACGCCAAGAATCCGATTTTACTTACGTGGAAGTGCTTTATCTACTTCATTACTGGACAGATAATATTCGCTAATACCAAATTTCATTGTGAAATCTTCGTCTTGTACTGGCAATGTACTTCTTCCCCAAACAAATATCAAGAACTGTTTTTTCTGTTCTTCATTGAACATTTCACTAAGAACATTCCAGAATCGTTGAATATGTGGCGAATTTTCATTTAAATTACCACCATAGTTAGTATTCCGTTTCAATATTTCAATATCGATTTCACCTTTTCCACAAACACTCTCTTCAAGTTCACTGGCGGTAAATAGATTCAAGTAGTAGCCTGGAACAACACTGTACAGGCCTTGACGAATGAATTCAATCTGTCGACTAAATTCATTCAGACGATATTCGCGATAACGTGTACAATATTCTTGAAAGTTGTTAGCCGTAATCGGAATTTCGCTACCACCCGGTACAAGTTCATAGGTCTCACCGGCTGAACTCACTATATCGAATCGAAGTTCATTCATGATACTGCTAAACAAATAGTCAATGTCAGTATCATTGTTGATCGATCGATTTTGTTTCATATTCTGTTCCATTTCATTGATAACGGTAAAACTTTGCATATCAATTGCTTCGATATCTTCCATTGTCACCTTGTCTCCTACCAATTGTTTCCATAACAGTTGAGGAAAATTGAAATTCATGTAGTGTTTATTACGTATGGCTATGCCCATAAGTTGTCCAACAAATCTATATTGATTTTTGAGTCTATTCGAAATCGGTTTATTCGGTGGAAATACATTTGGTATCCAACGATCTCGATTCAGGCCACTATTCGTTCGGCCGTTCGGACACAGAATAAACAGTGGTAATCGTGTACTACAGATATCCGAACAGATGTGCGTGATTGAATCTCGATACGGACCACCCTGATCGGCACTATGCATTCCAATGTACTGTGCTGTCCACAGTTGACCACATTGTCTTCGAAATGTTGTCTGAGCATTTTCATACAACTGTTCAAACGCTTGACTGAACATAGTGTTTTCCTCTTTGTTACTGGTAGTGCTGGCTTTAACTATATCGAACTGTACTTGTGGCACGGAATCAGAGTATCCTATATTGGTTTTCGACAACATTTCTTGAAGCCAACAAACTTTTGTCGGATACAATAAATAGATTTTGGCTGTTTTAATTTGGCCTATTAGCATGCTCTGCTTTTGTGATACGCTAAAGTCAAGAACGGGTACAACTTTTTCGATAAGAGTGCCCAATTGGTACAAGAGTTTTGCACGAGTACGTATATCCGTGGCAGGAATGTTCGACAAGGATGGATAGTTTTTATAGAATGTTTCATCTGGTACAGGTCCTTCTGGTAGACGTTGAAGAAAATCGCTGATTGAATTGTTGGCAAACAGTTCCTTATTCATAAAATTCATCAGTTGTTGATCAGCAGTTTCATCAAAATGGCTCTTCCATTTTTCAATCTCGTCACGAGTCAATCTTAAATCTTGATTTTGAGACTCGTTGGCTTGTAAAATGAAGGCTTCAGGAAATGATTTCTGTTTTGTTCTATCAGTCAATGCTTGAATAACATCGATTGTTGTCAAGATGTCACGAAATACTTTTGGAAATTTCTGCGTGTCAAATACAAATCGGTGTTCACTCGTAGTTTTCCCAACATTCGTCATAGTCTGTTGACTGTGTTGTTCTGTCAGTAGTAGAAGGATCCAGTCCATGACAGTTCTGTGTAGCATACTTATCGGTCGACTAACAGTCATTGTTTCACTAGATGATAATTCAATAAATAGTTGAAATAGGAAATTTTGAATTTGTTCACTCAAGTGAAAAGTTTTGCTTGTTTGAATTAAACTGCAAATAGAGAATAAACAAAATTTAATCTTGCATGGTAGAATACTCTCGTTTCTTTTGTTACGACAGCGTACGAATCTTTGAAAAATCTAAATGAGTGAGGTCAGAGAATTTTTCTCCACTGTAATTTCAAAATTTTATGACTTTAACGACACGAATACAACGATCATTTCTGTGCTTGCTCTTGTTCAAGAGCAGTAAGGAAACATTTAAAAGGTCCTCAATATTCGTTTGAATCATCGAACTAGAGTTGATCAATAGAAAAATCAAAGTTACACTTGATCATCGTTAATTTGGCTAATATTTCTTTTGACAAACGCTTTCTTTGTGGTCGTACCATGTAAGATACACTTGTTAAGGGCAGATATTTCATCTGTTGATCCAGTTTTTACCAAAATCCAATGTGTTTTTTGCTATCATAAGTAAACTGAATGAAAAAATTATGCAGCAAGAGCCGCTACCCTACTCAGCATTGAATACACAAATCTTTGCTAGTTCCAAGAGAAGAAACATATCATCGGATGTTCAGGAATCCCATAATCTGCTTTCTCCTCCTTGGCTAACTCTATTTGTGAAAGTGTTCATAAATTTTTGTAAATCGATCACTTCTCTATTACATATAACATTAAACTAAGCTGCAGGCTGGATCCAAAGAATGGAATGGTAATCATTTTCTGTGGAGCTAATTTCTACGGAATGTATAGTTCGATGCTTTTAAATTCGACGTTAGTTAGGTGATTCGTTTGAACCATTTTAGTACCTTCGAAAAGAGACTTTTGGAGCTCGTCACTGATACCAATTTCGTAGTCTATATTCTTAAAGAGTATAGAAACGCTGGAGTAATTCATTTTTAAATGGCTCGGTAAGAAAAAATTGTTTGATAGTGTTACTTACGTCACAAATAGATGGAGAATGAATACTTTGGATTGATATGTTTGATCCGCTAGAAATAGATCAAACATGATGTTGATTAACGGAAGAGGTAATAACAATGGAACAAGTGAATCGATTTCATGTTGTTTCATCGTCGATTTATTGGTGATCAATTCAACAAATAGTTGTAATATTTTATAGACGAAATTCAAATTCGGTTTTTTAATCATTGTATGTTCGTCAATCGTCGTTGCTTCGGTACTAGAATCGTCCAATTGTAACGATCGTTTCGATAGTAGACGAATGGATTGAATCATAATATCCTTCTGTAATTCATACAGCAACGGAGCTTTACTACTTAGAATTTCTCTATTCATTTTATTCTGTACAGTAGTAGTAGTAATCAGTTTCAGTAGTTCTTTTATTTCGATTCGAAGAATTGAATTGACTAAAATACTCATTCGATCAATATTTTCATCCATATTCATACTCGTATATGTATAATGATAGTCCATCAAACGTAATAGTTTGACAATAAATGCACAGTCACCAAACTTTTCCAATGGAAATAGACTTGAATTATCACTTGACCACGCTTTCAACATGTTCAGAACAGTGTAACGTGCATAGATCGAAGTCAATCCATGTTCACAAGCGATGTGCGACTTCAAATATTGTTTTTGTGAAATATGTCGATGAGAATATTGAATCGGTTTCTGAATTTGTTTTCGTTGACTTTCGACCGATGTTGCGAATGTCGTTTGTTCTTGTGGTTCGGATTTCTTCAAATCGAACAGTTGATAACACAGATCTGTATCTTCCATTCCCAATTGTTTCCCTTGGATCCATTCGTGTAGACTTTCATTGATGTCTAAACCTGCAACGGTTTGATGATACCAGTTTGCGTTGCCTGAAGGTGCCGCTTTATCATTGCCTGAAGATTTGAACGTTTGTAAATTTTTCCAATGAGCTATTATGAGCTCACCAGCAGCGGCAATTTCTTCGTCGGTATCGAATTTTGAAAACGTGAGCAAATCTTGTATCTTTTCCCGATCGATCGACGGACTCAATCTTGATAGAATTGTAAAATAATGCTGTCGTCGATCTTCAAGATCTTTCTTCTGTAATTCTTCTTTCGTTTCACGTATCCATGTATCAATCAATTGAATATTTTCAGTTTTGTACTGTTTCATAACAGATTCGATCCAAGTTACATTGTATCCGATTGCTATTAAGCTCGATACAATGAGTGAAAACGGTGGTGCAACCAGTGGTTCCAAGGAATGTTTGGATGATTTCATTCGTTCATCTAGAGCACCATCTACCAATGATCTATTTAGAAATGTAATCGATTTACATTCAATTCGAAGTGTATCTTCACCGGTTGTGTTTCTTGTTAGATCTATCTCTCTGAACAGATCGATTCGATCAGTAGTTATTGTTAAATTCTCGCTATCGGATTTAATAGCGAGCATTAAAAGTCCATTTGCATAGATTTTGAGCGATTTCTCATCAACAGAAATAACCAAACGTATGTATTCATTCAATTTCAATATCGATTCACTGGTCGTTTTCATTTCATTACTCGATAGACAAATTTTATCATAGTCTGTAATGTAAATTTCGGACTGCGAATTCATTGCTACCAGTGTCAATCGTTCTCCGTTGATTGGCGAAGGACATAAAATATCGAAAATAAGTGTATACTGAGACCATGACTCGATTGACTTTTCCAGAACTAGATAACTCTGATTACCGAATAGTTGAACTACAGATTCATTAGTTTCGCTAATTGTTCGGAAATAGTTCGATTCGTCGGAATCGATTTGTTTCTTCTTTTGCAACCAGATACTCTCTTCGAACGATTGATTGAACGGAACGAGTAATCCATTTGAAAAATACTGTTGATTTTTAACGAATGTAAATGTATTCGCTTGTTTTCGATATTCACTCAACTGCTGATAATCGATCGCTACGTAGGATAGACCATAAGTGAATAGACGTCGTATGTGCTCTTCTGGTAGTGCATATTTCCAAACGGCTAGATTTTTTATACCCGCAGCAGTATTGGGTAAAATGTATAATTCGGCCATGGTTTCATTCTGAAATTCACCATTGAACGTTCGACATTCGTTATTGATGTAGACCTTGGCATTTCGTTCATTCCAGTGGAATACGATAGCAGCATGCGTTTCGCCCTGAACTTTACTCAGTGGTATTCGTACGGAAAACATTTCCGGTGTACCCAATGTACATAAAAGAATATCATTTTCAGTTTCTGTTTGAACCTCAAAATCGAAACTAATCGTCAACGATGTTGAATAATTATCTAGAGAAAATGGAAAACCATCACTATTTTCAGGTAATCTGAGCTGATGGTCTTCAACGGTAAATGTCGCTTGAAGATGTTGTTCATTGACAAAATCACGTAGAACAGAAGTTGAAGCCGTAGTTCTACGTACCGTAGTAAAATAATCTTGAACATTGTTGCCAACCAAATAAGCACTGTAAGGATAAGCTACAATTGAATTTTCAATATTGATCAATTTCGGCATCATTAACGGCTTATAGCCTTTCGGTAGTGGACATTCGGTCATGTCTTCTGGACTGAATATAAGCTCATAATCCGCCGCGTTGTACGTTGCTTGGGAGCTGATAGCTGGAAAATAGGTTGTACCTCGTCCGTTCGGTAACAGATTACACTTCGTTGTTGTTGTCCCGATGTTACACTGATGTTCAAAAGCTGTACCAAGAAATCTTCCATTTAACCAGTATTTTATTTTGGTATTTTCGCCGTCGATTTCAATTGCGCAGCCGCAAACATCGTCGTCTTTCCAGCGAATGTCATCCGATGTAAAATTTCTATACTCTGTCTGATGGTAAAGAGTACCTCGTGATCCATCATATGACCATGAATATTTGTCATCACCAACTCCTCGACCACTGTCACCAGCGGGCATGAATCCAGTCGTTGCCCAACCAACTTGTGCAAGAGCAGCAGTTCGAAATTTGATACAATAATACCAGTTACCTTCGGTCAAACGAATATTATCGACAATAAAAGTTGGAAATGATACGTGTGTATTCCCGCTGGTCGGTGTAATTCGTCCTTTGAATTTATGTTTATTGCCCGATTCTTCAAATACACTCGAGTCAGAAATAGATCGTGGCATTGGCATAATTGATAATTCATCACTTCCTCCAATCCGACCTTGTTTGTATAGTTCAATATCTTCTTTTGATGTATACGGTTTCCATCCGTTGTAAATCATCGAATTTGTTGTTAGAGCTTCAACAATCAGTTGCTCACAATCGATTGGAATCCGGTTCCAGATCGAAAATGAATCATCAACTTCATCATTGATGATTTCTTTTTCCGTATCACTATCCTCAACGATTTGTTTCGATCGTTTACAGTTATCTAAACTTAAACAGTACTGTTCCAAATGTTGTCTATTGAATAGACGTAAATCGCTTGGTGGTGTACGATTCTTTTCAGGTATCGATAGTTTGGCAATGGTAGATGCGTACGGTTTTTGCATAAAAATTTCGACAATTTTCTTCTCATTCAATATTTCACATAGAACAGCAACGGAACGACGTTTTATTTGTAATAATGGTTGAGACTCTGTTGTCGATGTATCGATTTGTATGAAATAACCCAATGTATCCAAAAGTGAATGTATATCTTCATTCGAATTAATCACATTCGGCAACGAGAGTAGCGTCGGTGGTGGAACAGCGACTTCAATTCGTAATTTATCCGCATTGGCCCATTCAGTTTCATTCGTTTGTGAATATTGAATGAGATACGGGAATGATGTATCATCCGAATCATCAGTATTCGTTTCGATTTCAATGATAACTCCTAATGCGAATTCATTGTTTTCTTCGTTCGTACAAATTTTGACAATTGAACCCAAACAATAGGGTTCAATGTATCCACCCAAAATACAGAGAGATGCTGAATAGTTGTTCATACTGTTCGTATCTATAGTTTCAATTGATTTCAAACTAGATCTGATACTGTTAAAAACTAATTGTATTGCCATCATTTGCCATGCCGATTTCAAAGATATGAGAGTACGAAAAATGTTGACCAATTCATTGATTGTAGTCGCTGGTGAGGTTCCTTGAGAATTGAAACTATCACTAATGGAAAGAAGAATATCGCACAGCAGATTCTTGATCGTCGTTCTTGATGTTTCATTCGTACATTTCGGTATTACATCGCGTAATATTTTTAGTGCCAATAAAATTGTGGAACTAGTTTCGCTATTTCGGTAGATGTACAATAATTCTTCAATGTAATCATTCGTTCCACAGACTGATCGAACCTGTTCATAGGAACGAACACATCTGAGTAGCAGCATCAATAGTTGATTTGTAAAAAGTTCGATTTCGAATTTTGTTGAGAAATTCTTTGAACCGATCGATAAATCATCATCAGTCATAGTGACGGCCTTCATAAACCAACCGATGGATGCATTATCGAATGAATTCGATTTGCATTCTTTTGAATCCGTCTCCGAAGATAATTCTTGCTTTAATCGTTTCAATTCTTTCAATTCGTTTAAGATCAACGTCTTAAAGATGAACTCTTGCTGTTGTTTCAATACACCATTCGTTGTACCCATCGTTTCTTCGATTTCAATGTTTTCACAGAGCTGCAAGACGAACGATCGAAACCAGTTGTATCCGATTAATTTCTGATAGAGACAAACGTTTTCAGTTGACTTTCCCTGACAACTGACAAACAATGTATAGATCGTTTCAACTATATGATAATGATATATGTGGTAGATATCACGTGATTCGTAGGATAAGTTCAATAAATTGAATACCGTTCGTGTGGACAACTTTGATTCCGATGTGTTGGATTGTAACACGTAGGACAGAACAGTTTTGATAATCGAATAGTAAGTTTTTCGAATTTTTTCTTTCAGATCGTGAGGTGTCGCTTCAATGTTTTCGACATAGGACCAATCGAGAGAAAAATTTCTCAAATATGGCAAGACGATTGTTAAAATTTGATCTTGATCATCGCTGTTGAGTAGTTTTTGAAGAAATATCTGAATGGATCGATATGTCATCAGTCGAGTCATTGCTCGTTCGTACTGTCTCAACATACATTGAACGAGTTCATCTGATTCCGATTGGTTTTCTTCGTTCGATATCGACGCAGTCGTTTTGTAAAGATCACCATAAACAAATGCATCGATGGCTCGTTTCAAAATACTCTCATTGTCCTGTTTCTGTTCGATAGCTTGTCGCTGTGTTAACATCATCTTTTTAAATCGAATACAAGCTTGCATCGTATTGCGAAGTAATCGAAATACATATTTGGCTTTAGTCCATCGTGAATATTGCCTATGAAAATTCGGACGTTTCCTATCTGGTACAGGTGTTGTTAGCGCCTGTGCAAATGTATCACTGTGAACTATCGGAATTAAATTACTTTCTTTCACAGAAAGCAGCAGAAATTTTGTATTGAGTTTGATCTTCTTTAAAAGTTCATTACAGTCACCACCTTGAGCCTTTGTTGTAGCAAATAGTGTATAGACATGATTGGCATATTCATAAAGGGATATAAGTTGACTGTGTGATCGTTCGGCATCGTTTTGAGATAGTTCAAATTTGGCAAGTTCAATTCGACGATAGTGTTTGATGTAGACTGCAAAAACAGCAGCACATGCATCATTTGCTAGTTGCTCGATGGATTTTTGCAAGAAACGTCTGTCTTTGATGTACATCTTCATTTTCGCTACCAGTTGTGCACCTTGATCAACGTTGTTATAAATCGACATTAAAAATTCGTTATCGGACGATGCTTGTTCAATGAGATCAGTTGCTTTAAATTGACTGTACTCGGCAAAATTCGATTTCAATAAAGATGACAGATATGGACTCTTGTCGATGGTTATTTGTTCACAACCACCGGCAAATAGGGGTAGCTTCAATTTTTCGGCATGTTTCATTTCCAATGAATTCTGTTTTTGACCATTAATCATAACATTCGTCATCTTGCCCAATAGCAAATAGATATAATGCGAATCTTCTTCAGTACTTCTTCGTTGAATGATGTATTCGGCTAAAAGTGGAAAGACACCGGTGAAGATTGGTAGAATCGTATCGAAATCGAAGCGTTCTTCTGCTTGTGTCGTCAGACTCAAACCGATCATAATCAAATTGAACATTTCGCCATCATCGTGTTTACTCAATAGATGAGTGATATATTTAACTATAACCGAAGATGCGGCTATACAAGTAGCTGAAACGGAAGTTTCAGCTGACTTGTCGGTTGTTGTGCTTGGAATTGTTATTTTTAGTCGAGATTCTGGAATTAATCGAGTCAGTAAAAGTTGCTGGAACAAGACCAGTATCTGTTTGATGAGTTGTCTTTGCTCTTTTGATATATCACTCGATGCAAGGAAACACGTATCGATGAATGAATAGAGAATTGTCATTGCCGTTACTTTCTCCGGTGTGTCATCGTTGGCATCACACAATACTTCGATCCAATTTAACAGTGTTACTTTCCGATTCAGTTCTACCAAAAGTTGTTCGGCTAATATAGGATACTTCTGTTCGATGGTATATTTATGAATAAATGCTAATTTTTCGGTGAATGATGACTGATTTTTCTCGATCACAAAAATGAGAGCTTTCGATGCTTCTCTACGTATAGCTTTATAGTCCGATTTTTCATCATTATCACCACAGGCCAATTTCAATAGTACTTCAAACCATTTTTCTAAATCATCGGGCGTTGCAAATTTCGATAGATCGATGTTGGTATTTGATTCGGTGGAAGAAGTTTGAATAGTTTTTCTCAGTTCATCGTTTGTTCCGAATAGATCTTTGTCAAGAGTTGATTTTACAGCACACAAAAATTTCAAATGTGTTGTAAACAATCTTAAACACACGGTCAACATATGAATGACAGCTGTACTCGAGTCTTGCGTTATTGTTGCTGCCAATTGTTCGATAATACGAAACAATTGTTTGAACGTATCCGGATGAAATTCGAATGACATTGAACCATCGAGTGAACCACTTTGAAATTGCTTTTTGGAATTAAATTCATTATCAATATCGATATGTGCCAAAATGATTGATGAAATAAATTGTCCAGAAAAGTGTCGATCATCCAAATTGATCAGTTGTTCATTTGGAAATGCTTCAATCGATTTCAAATAGTCCAATGAACTTAGGCAGATTTCATTGGACGCTCGTTGTTCTAAAATAGTTAATGGCATTTATTTTCGAATATATTTTTTGTCAAGAATGATAATTTGTTGTCGTTTAGAAACGTTTGATTAGACTCAGATTTGTAAAGAAGTATTCGCTTTGGAAAAAGGACTGACTTCGACAATTTTCAGCAATTTCCCAAACGAGCTGATAGAAATTAGCAAAAACAACTTTTCTTTTATAGTATCATTTGCTGGTTACTTACGGTAGCCGTATAGCTGAAATTTAGAATATTGAACCGCATCTCCGTAGTCACGTTTTTCAGTAATCAAAAGTCGATAGCTTGCATAGGGCGTGGAATTTGAAAACGATTGTTTTACTCCGCGACTCTGTCTGTCTGGATCATTTTCTAGACCACTTGGACCCTTGTAGATAAGATTCCAGCTAGAGCCAAGATGGAGCAATTCGCCGGGTTCATTACTTCCTTCTAACGTGACGGTTAATGGATCACGATCTGGACAATCGTTAGCTGTGTAAAATCTTAGGCCTGTCACTATTGACGGGCCTCGTTTGAGTATAAAGTAGAGACCTGTTCTCAGACCGGCATCATGGGAACCGCAATTACCAAAATTCAAATATTTAGTTGAAACATAGTCATCGAATACGTTTGAAGGGTTCTCATTGGAAGGATAATTACCAGTGCCATAACCAGATGTTGATGAACTACTGTTACCGCCAGCGATTGTTTCATAGATACCGAATGGGGTTTCGTTGGTGCCAGTTAATCGTACCGAAGCTGCTACAATTTCAACATGAACTTTTTAGTTATAATTTCAGCCCCAATTGCATTTAATTTTTGAAGTACGTGCAATTCTCATATAGAAAGAACATTTTACATTTAGATCGATAGAACTGAGTGTACAATATGCATTTATTTTTCACATTAGATCTTTTAAGATTACTTAAATACATATGGAACATATACTCCTCAAAAGCAAAAGCTGTACTCAGTATTTCAGCTGTTCTGATACTGGCAAAAATACGTTTTAAGAAAAGTAATTCTACTGTTCGATAACACTTAGAATTCTTTATCAAACTGTGTATTTTGACTGTACCACGCTTTTTATCTTCTGAAAAATAAATCGACTGAAATGAAGGCGCCCTCATGTTTAGATTCCCATAGATTTGATGGTGTCTCAAGTCATTTTTTAATTTTGTTATCATTGTAGAATTATCAGTTTAAAAAAAGCAATTTTATATTCTGATAGAGCTTGAAATTCTTTATCACCCTATGCTTTCATATATTGTCTTGGATTTCAATAGTGAAAATAAATGTAAATTGTTGGTACTTGTCATTTAACGGGTGATATGTTCAATGTACTCATTTTTTTCTTTCAATGAATGAATATAAGAAAACTAGGAAACGTACAAGGTCACAGATAATTTCAAGTTCTATCAGGAGACTTGTTAGAGTTTTCTAAAAATGGCTTTTTTGATCAAATTCAATTCTTTTTGGGGTTTTTCGATACTTCCATTATTTCTTCAGTATTTCTCTTAGAAAATAACTTTTAAAAAGCAAAAACATTGTCTGTACTCCTCTGAAGTTTTTCGATATATTCAGGAAGTTTTTTTATACGTACAAGAGGTTTTCTAGGGTTTTTTGAGTTTCGATATCATAAAACCTCTTACGTATCAAAAAAGGAATAAAAAAAATTCAGAACACCTTCAAAAAACACTTCAAAGCCCCCAAGAGTCCTCTTTTTAAAAATAAGTTGATCAAGGAGTCGGGCT